AAAAATATACTTACGTTGATTATTATATCAATTTACACAGTAACTATTATTGTTAATTATAATACGAAATACATAAATATAAATTATGATTTATGTCTTATTTCTATTTTCAATTTTTTCTCTTTGTTTATAAAATTCATTACATAGAAGAACAAAAAAACAAATGTAAATTAATTTTCAAAATTGATTAAAAGAAAAAAATAACAGAATTTGTTATTTTTAAAAATAATTTAAAAATGATTTTCTAATATAAATTTATTATATATTATAAAATATTATATTATATATTATTTTTAATATATTTTTCTATTCCTCTCTAGGTATAAATATATTAATGATTAATTTAAAAATATATGTATCTTTAAACATATATCATCATAAAAAAATTATAATGTTACAATATATATGATTATGTATAATAATTAATTTTTTGTTTTATATATATTAATTTCATATCTTTCTTTATTTTTTTTTAATTTTTTTTTTTTGTTAGTTCAATATTCAATTTAAATTATATTTATTAGAATATAATAATTCAGATAATATTTAATTTTTTGTAGATAAATGTCAACTAAACACAAAAATCAAAATAAAATGAAAACTCAAAGACAAGTATTGAACGCAATTCATCGGCTAATTGAATTCATAGCCAGAATGATATACATGTTTATTGCATTTTTAAAAGGTCCTGCAGAATCTCAACCACCTATAAAGGATTTAATACTTTTACACAGTGCAACTACTTTAGCTTTTAAAATTCGAAATAGACAGGTAATGATTTGAATTTGATTTTATCTTCTAATAATTAAATTTACAAAAATTAAATCTGATAACTATTATTATAGATCTTGTCTATTATTATAAATAATAAAATAAATTATAGATATTTCTAAAATAATATATTGAAATTAAAACTAATTACAATTTATATTTATTATTATTTATTATTTATATGTATTAATAAATATTTATGCATTAAAATTTATATTTGCAGTTAATGTCAGAAGAAATAGTACAATCTTACATAGATAGGATAAAAGAAATTCAACCAGTGTTAAATTGTATGGTGGAAGATCGCTTTGAGGATGCTCTCAAAGAAGCAAAAATATGTGATGAACTTTTGAAATCTCAGAATGCTCCATCTCCTCAAGTATTAGCTGAAAAGAAACCTTTCTTTGGTGTGCCTTTTACTACAAAAGTAATTTTTATTTATTATATTTTATATTTTTAAGATATATTTTTATATTTTATAAAATATAACAAATATATCTTATAATAACATCTTATAAATATTAATATATATAACTTAAATTTTTTCTATTTTTTAGGATTGCATTGGAGTTGCTAACATGAAACAAACAGCTGGTTTAACTGTTCGTAAGAATATTGTTTCCAAATATGATGCAGAAGTGATCAGATTAATGAGAGATGCTGGAGCTATCCCTCTAGCAACTACAAATGTGTCAGAATTAGCCATGTGGTGGGAAACTTCCAATTGTTTATATGGAACTACAAAAAACCCTTATAATACTAGACATATTGTTGGTGGATCCTCTGGTGGTGAAGGTTGTATACAAGCAGCAGCTGGTTCACCATTAGGAATAGGATCAGATATTGGTGGATCTATTCGTATACCGAGCTATTTCAATGGAATTTTCGGACATAAACCTTCTACAGGAATAGTTTCAAATGATGGTCAATATCCGAGTGCACAAAGCGAAGATCAAAAACGGTTACTCGCAATTGGCCCTATGTGCAGATATGCACAAGATTTATCGCCTATTTTAAAAATTCTGGCAGATAAAAATGCGGATATATTACGTTTAAATGAAAAAGTAGATATCTCGAAACTCAAGGTATAAATCGTTTGCTTAAATTGTTATGAATAATTGTATGTAATATATAAGTCTTTATTTTAATTTATTTTAATTTAGTTCTATTATATGGAAGACGACGGTGGTCAACTCTTAACATCTCCAGTTGAACTAGAAATAAAAGAAGCAATGAGGAAAGTGATTCGATATCTAGAAAAAGCTTATAAAGTCAAAGTGACTAAACTCAATATTAGAAAATTAAAAAAGAGTACTGCATTATGGATGGCAAATATGAGTTGTAAAGATGAGAAAGATTTCACGTATGAATTATCAAATAGAAATGGTCATATAAACTTATGGTGGGAATTTTTGAAATGGACAATATTCATGAGTAATCATACATTAATAGCTCTTCTTACTGCTACGTTTGAAAGATTTGCGGTGAAGCATGGAAGCGACCAACACACTAAACTGATACAAGAAAGTAGGGAACTTTATCGAGAATTTCAGGTATAATCTCAAAAATAATTATTTATATTTATAAATTATAAAAATGATGTCTAACAAACTGTTGATGCAATATTATATACATTGATAAGTACTTGTAATATAACTCATCAGGATTGGAATTGGCTCCTACCTTCTTCGTCTTCTTTTCTTACTATTGCATTGCGGAACAATACTCTTTATTAAAATGGACATAATATCTTTCTCGAGTCGTATCGTGCAAACTGGTCAGAATACTAGTCTATATTTTACGGTATCACGAGTTATTTCTAATAAGTAGTAAAAAAAATATTGCTCTGCATGTAGAATGAAATTTTTTTCCATTCGAATAGCAAAGAGCTCTATTATTTTTTTAAATCTCTTTTGACCTTGTAGTTGCGCTAACGAGGCAAGAAAACGTGATTGAAATTGCAGCATGCACCCATAAATATTCAAATTTTTTTCCTTTTTCTTAAATATTATATATTCTAATCTAATATTTTTTTAATAGGATATTTTAGGTGAAGACGGTGTATTTCTATTTCCAACACATCCAACTGCAGCGCCATTACATCATGAACCGCTGGTAAAAGCATTCAACTTTTCATACACTGCTATTATTAATGTATTGGGCTTGCCTGCTACTGCTTGCCCCTTAGGTTTAAATAAACAAGGACTTCCTATCGGTATACAGGTATGATGTTTCACAATATTAATAAACTAGAAATTTATTTATTAATTTATTCATTATATTTATTAAAATAAGAATTTTAATATAAATTATATTCATTATAGATTGTTGGTGGCCTACATCAAGATCGTTTAACTATAGCTGTTGCTGAAGAATTAGAACGAGGTTTTGGAGGCTGGGTACCTCCGGTTATCGTAGCTTGATATATTTATTCTTTGGACAATAATTTAATGCGTAATACGGTACATAAATTTTTTTTTACCATACTCTGCCATTATTATTTTTCGAAAACTAATTTATATCTAATTAATTCATACCAGGAAGAAAAGTACAAACTCATATTCAAAAAAATAGATATTGACGTTTTAAATATTTTAGAAAGAATTGAAAAGGAACTGATTATACGTATATACGTAATATGATAAATATAAAAATTTTCGTATCGATTCATAATCGATTATGAACTAAATTTTGTTAAATGCGTGAATTATACGTATATATACATATATATATATATTAGATATATATATTGAGATATGCGTATATTTGTATTTATAAATTGATGTTAAAAAATTCATTTTTCTAACAAAAATCATGTTGAAAGAAGTAATAATATTTGTACATAAGTAAACTACTACACTGTATTTAATTACCGTTTTTATATACCTCATTATAGATCTCTACATAGGATTTTCTATTTTCATACGAATTGAGAGAGAGAGAGAGAGAGAGAGAGAGAGAGAGAGAGAGAGAGAGAGCGAATGAATGAATGATAGAAAAAGAAAAACGAATTATGTACATGGTAGTAGGGTGCTTTCGGTAATGTGATAAAAGTATTAAAAATTTTATGTTTATAATGTGTATTAATGTTAATGTCGTATACATATATATTTTATACTAAACAAATAAATTTTTATTCTATTATTCTATCATAATTTTTCTTTTACCAATGACTGATTATATATATAAAAAAAAAAATAATATACAATTTTATAATATAATAATTTTTTATAATAAATTAAAATTTTCCATTTTATAATTTATTGATTTATAATGATAATTGTAAATTTGAATTTTTATTATAATAATATTGTTCTTATTATAAAATAAAACTAAGGAAAATAATCGGAATATTAAAATATTATTTTATTTAAAAATACATTATTAAGAGAACTAAAAAAATATCTATGACGCAATTTCTATCACACTTAAAATTCTAAGTACATAATACGCTTTTTTGAGTATGTAATACGAAATGAGAGATCTTTGATTTTATGATAAAACTTTTCTTTTTTGTTATTAATAAATAATAATTTAATACATATTTACAATTCTAACAATCGTTGTACAAATACTTTTAAAAAATATGTAATATTTATATGAATTTCATATGTGCAACAATATTTTTTGCTTATGTGAGTTTCATGGATAATGACAAAAGTCAATTGAAAAATTATACAGATAAATATATCATAAATTTAAATTCGCAATGTAAATACTTGTTATAAATTATTTAAAACTATATGTAAATATGTCTATTAGATAAATAGAAAGAGGAACATAAATTTCTAGCAATGTTCATTTTACTTTTGTTATAAATATGTAGCATGTATGTATTTTTTTTAACACTTTAACAAAATAATAACATATTATAATAATAATAATAATAATAATAATAATAATAATAATAATAATAATAATAATTAAAAGTTTTTATAAAAAAAATTTATATCTTATAATAAAAATTAATAAATAAAAAATCAGAATTTAGTAACTTAATTTTTCAATTTTCTAATATCCAAATAATATATTGGTTCCAATTATTGCAAGATCTTATATTTATAAAAAGAGATAAAAGCCTCATTAATGTTCATATACTTATTAAAATGACATATATCACAATATATTTCTTAAAACTTACAGAATGCAAGTACTAAATTTTACCGATCTAATTCTAGATCTAATTCTAGATCTAAGCCTAGCACGACAACATTTGATTTAATTATAAGATCAAAATGCCAAGACTTTTTACGTAATATTTCATTAATTTGTTTTAGCCTAAAAATCGAGAAAACTAATATTACGTTATGAGATTTGTTTCTTCTGAAAGAGTTTCGATTTTACCTGAATCAATTAATGCATTCTCCGATCTGTTATCCAATGAATTATCCTTACTATCATCACTGTCGGGTCTATTTGAGATTTCGTATTCATTTAAATTTTTTTCAGATTGAGATTTTAATAAATTATCCTTTGCATCTTTATACTGTTCTGTTTTATCATCAAAATAATTTATATTATCATTGCTTAACAGTTTATCTTTATTCTTAAAATAAGAATTCTCATCTTCCTTTATTATTTTATTATTTTCTTTTCTTTCCGCATATCCATTAGTGCGATTAATTAGATTCAGTTCTACGTTTGTTCCTTCGGTTTTCTTTGAAGTCTGATTTTTTGTAGAATTACTGAAGGGATTGAAAAATCGCCTTCCATTTTCTCTATTCATACCATTGTTCGATTTTATAGAGTCTGCTTCATTTCTTTTGTGACTTTCTATGTTTCCGGACTCGAATGTTTTATCGCAAAATTGCTCTACATTTTCAGCCTGTTCTTTTTCTTTCTTTATCGCAGCCAGTTCAGCTTCTTTCATTGCCGAATGAATAACTGGTTCAGCCCATAATCCTGGATTAAATGCAGGTCCTGTGCCACCTAGTTCTGCTGGTAAAATATCAGTGGGCAGGTGTTCATGTAGTGTGCTCAAATTGTTTCCATGTAAATAGATCTGAAAATATTAAATAGATATACGTTAATAACATCATAAATTTCATAAAAAAAAAATTAATTTTATTCTAAAGAATTATTTTTGGGAGATAATATACTGAAATTCTTTGGAATTAAAAAAAAAATACTTCTTAAACGAACTTCTTAAAAAATATTTGTTTTATGTAAATATCCGATTTCAGATAATTTAGAATTGTTATTATCTTCTGGTCAATATTTAATTTCCGATATCTAAAAGCTCAATGTAATAATACTATAATTTCTATTCAAGTGATTATATATACAATTATAAATATCGCAATGAGAAATTATATATTTATAAAATATTGTATATTGTTACTATGTTTTATATTATTGTATATATATATATATATATAATTTATATAAATATATTTATAAATATAATTTATAAAATATTTTAATTGACGTAATTCAATTAAATTATTTCGACGATAATCATATATTTTAATCATTTTTGATATGTTAATGATTATATTACAAATCAAAATTATTATATTATTATTAAAGATTTTTTTAATCAATTTTTAATTATTTTTTATCATAACAAATCATAATAAATCACTATAATTAAATTATTTTTAAATATTTTAATTCTTAGCAATTTCTTTTACCTTATTTCGAGTTTTTTCGTCTAAAAAAGGTTTTACAAGAGCCAATGTAGCTTGAACGTAAAGTGGCGCTGATAAGAAATGTATAGCTTTGAATCTAGCCGGAAATCGTCCCCGAAGAGCAGCTATTAGGTTTCGCAATGCCGCTGCACCTAAGGCACCGCCCTGTCGTAAAGAGAATCCGCTCCAATCTACTACTGCCACGAAACCAGATTGCTAGAAAAGCAATGAAACATTCAAAATTATAGATTAAAAATATTTAATGTTTAAATAATTTCATTTTGCATTTCTTCAAATGTAATATAAATTTATAAAATTAATCATACATTGTACCTGATTTCTTGGATCTTGTATAAGTATTTCTAGAACTAAAAAAATAGCTCGTTGAACTGATAATGCCGGTACTGCGATCGGATCCCATTGTGAAGCTAAAATAACAAGTACGCATCTTCCTTTTCTAAAAATTAATTTAAAAATGTATAAGTACAGAAGTAAAAAAAATTAATAAAGGAATAGATTATTATTCTTAAAAATGATTCAAGAACACTAATTTCTTATAAATGTTAAATTTGTAAAATAGAACAAAATAAATTTTAAATTGATACCTATCGCGTGCAGGAAGTACACCTGGTATTCCTGCCCGAAGTGCGCGTTGTAAGGCTGGATCTCTAGCCGTGAGATTACCGAAGATATCCTGTCGATGTGCTACTTGCGCTTGATAAGCAGCTATCAGGGCAGCAGCTTGTTCTGTGCGATATTTCCGGGCCAACAGGAAACGCGTAATATATTCATCCGTGCAATGCTTCAAGTCTAAGAGCAAAGAGACGGGTCATTGTAATGCTTCACGTGAAAAATAAAGTGGCAGGAAGCCGCTCGATCCGGAAATTCAAGAATCGATGTGAAACGAATCTAGCCGAAGCTTAATTTATTTGTACGAAACGGAATCATTGATTTATTATTGTTAACGGAACAAGTTGAATGAAATGCTTAAAACAATAATAATTATAATGAATTTAATTATATAAAAAATTTTTTGATATATGAATTTCTAAAAGAATTATAAACATTCAATATATATGTATATATTTTTTCTATATAATAAATATATAAAATATATAAATATATATAAATATATAAATAATAATTTATGTTATTTCATAAAAGTATATTGTAAATATATATATATATATATATACTTTTATGAAATAACATAAATTATTCTTGATATATTAATATCGCATTTTCAATTTATTAATTTTTATCAAAAATTTTAATAAGGAATTACGAATAATGATGAAAATTTCAACTGTTACGAATTCTTACCTACATCCGGCATTTCACGTAATATTGCTCGAACAGTCTTAATGGCCAGTTTCTTGTCACGTTTGTCAAATCTAGCTTCCTCTTCATAAATACTCCGTGCAAGAGCCGAACTCATATGACCTCTTGTAGTATCCCACATGTATTCACAATACTCAGACATTTTACAAATCTTTTTTCTTCTGCTTCACCACAAATCTAAAGTAATTAATTATAATTAAATTGAAAAAAAAATTATTGTATTTCATTGATTATAGATAAAATTTAAATCTTATCGATATATGAATATTTGCAATATATTTCATAAATCAAAAAATATATTTCAAGATATAAAAATAAATATAAAATATAATATATATCGATAATAGTAATAGATAATGATATATGAAGTATTCTGCAAATCAAGAAAATAAAACAGACACTCCCTCAAAATAAATGAAATATTTTATAAACGAAATTTATTTCTATAATACATATAATATTTATTTCTATAATCTTTAATAAAAAATAATCAGTTAATATTAATAATATCAGATATTCAATATTTTATTTTTTCCTTAAATTTTCTTCATATTATCATTCTTTGTACAATGAATTGAATTGAATTAAAAAAATGAATTATGAGTAATTAATTAGTAAGATATCAAACAAGAATTTGCTACAATAAGAATGACTCATTTCTAGGAGAAGCATCATTGAGAGACAATATATCTCGCACATTAACTGAGATTAGTTTGCATAACTATTTATCAGGACTTTTACTTTAATCTTATATTTATATTTCATAAAATATATATAATCTTATATTATATTTTGTGAAATCGTTTATGAACGATTAATCATTTCAGATTTACAATTTATAATAAGAATCTGTCATTATGAATCTATTTTTACAAAATATAATTCATTTTTTTAACAAATAATCACATTCAATATAATATTTTAGATAAACTTTAAAACATACATGTCAACAAATATCTTTATTATAGATAGAAAAAGATATTGAATATGTTAAATTTTTTTTTATCATTTTATCGAAATAAAAAAATACAAATTTTTTATAACTCGTTATAATCTATTGGAAACAAAATTGTTTTAATTACACTGCACTTATTAATTATTGAGCAAATTGTAATTAAATAGTATAATAAGAATTCATTAATAGTAAAACCGAAGAAATTCAAAGGAACTCATACAGACATCGTTAAGGTTATCGTTATAGATTGCATTGAACATAGTATTGTTTTTGGCATAATGTACTTGATACTATATATTCATGTACACCATTTTGTCATATGACATTTTTCTGGAAGCCATATGTTAAATTCGTATAAACTATATTATTAAAAGAATTATAATATTATAGAACAAATATATTTAGCCATAATAAAAATCGTGATTCGATAAACAAAAATGTTATAAATCATAAACTATATTTTTCTTCTAAGAACTTACATACGTAAAATATTTTCAAAAATTTTTGAAAACACTGCAATAAAAATCACACTCCTTTTATGTTGTTTTACAACTGTTGTCTTATCACTATTAAAATTATTCACTGTTACACAAAATTTCAATTGTGATTTCCGCAAAGAAAAAAATTATATTTTGTTATGAATTATTTTAAAAATACTTCAAGATTAATTTATCATGATATCAAAAATATATATTTAATTTAAATTTGTAAATAAAAGAGACAAAAAACCTGTACATCGGAACCTCGTTGCTCGAACGGTCACGAGCGAACGGTGCGCAATGAAGTCGCCTGTTGCGATTCGCTCGAAAGTGTTAGAGCATTGAGAAACAAAGGTGTGAGTGAGACTCTCAAGGAGAGAAGTTTGCAGGATTGGAGAAAGAAGGAAAAGAATTGCCTGCGGTATAACGATGGATTTAAGACGCATCAGATCGGTTCAAATGCGTGACTTAAGTTAAAGAATAGAAGAAACTTAAATATAGAAACTAAAGATCCAATAATTTAATTTTTTATTATCTTTAATAAATCAAATATTATATTTCGACAAAATATTTTAGGATATTCAACATTTTTAAAATTTTTATATTTTTTATATTCATTATATATTTTTATATTCATTTTATATTTTTTATATTCATTTATAATTATGTTTTTTTTCTAACAATATAAATTTTAAATGTTCAATTTAAGTGAAATTTATATAGAATATAATTAATAAAAAGAAATCATAAAAAAATAATAGTATCCATTACAATTTCGTTGAAATAAAATAAAAAAAATAAAGGTATGAGAAGTTAAAGAGAAACAAAAATAAGTTGGTACAATCAAATATAAAAAAGACTGATATAGTCAAAAAAAAAAAAATAACCTGTGCTAAAATTGAGTAGGAGAAAAAAAAAGAGTGAAAAGCTAGAGAGGGATGAACAGAAATAGAAAAGAAAAAAGTAAGACGCGGGGGAGAGACCAAATATTAACAAGGAAGGAAAAGGACGATCGCGAAAGTTGCAGTAAAAAAGATAGAGAGAAAGACGGACGAAGCCGGTTACCAGTACGGCTGACTCACTGATCGTTCTTGTTGCGCTATCAAGTAAAACCGTTCTCCAAAAAATGTGGACAAATAAAATATGTAGAAAACACAAATGGAAAAATAAAAATAAATAATTCTATATTTTTTAATAAAAAATCTAATGATGCATCTTTATATAAATATAGAAGTTCTAATATACTTTTATAATTATAAAGTTTCTTTATTATCAATAATAAAATTTAATTTTTAATTATTATTTTGTATGTAGAATACAATAATTGAAAAATAATTTTAATAATTCAAACTTATTTATCAGCAGACAATATTACAAATTTTAAAGATAAATTTATTTTCTTATTACACATCTGTTTTTAAGATTGGTTATTGACTTGAAAAATATTAATTGAATAAATGTCTTGCCTTTAGTTTTTATCGATCTAGTCAAATATATTTCAGAAATTTATTCTTGATGCATGCAATTATTACAAAAAAAAAATAAATCTTGTAAAAAAAATAAGTATCTTACTTTAAAAATAAAAAAACAATTTCATATTAATATTGCAAAATTACTAGTCACAGTTCACACCTGGAATAATTTATAGCATCATGTACTTATGTAAAATATCTTCTGTTGTAAACATTTGTCCAATCATTTTGCTCTTTATAAATATTTTGCTATAAGATAGATATTATGAAATCATTATTTATTACGATATAATAACAATATAAAGCAACAATTTTTATAATCTCATAAAATAAACAAATTTCCATTCTTCAAACTATATGGTTATCGCAATGAGTCATTTAAAAGTGCGAAATTGCAAATTACATCATAATAATATTTATAATGATCAATGATTGATAATTATAAATTATACTTAATACAAGAATTCATATTAAAAAAAAAAATATGCATATAAAAAATATTAGTACGGAACGCCCTTTAGCAACATATTTGGTAGAATGATTAGTATATATCCGATAAAGGAAGATTTTGTTTTATGGCGCGAAACCATTCAATTCTTTCACCGATCGATTCTGTCAAGGACGACAACCAATGATATTATACTTTAGATCAAACACATCTAAGGTTATGAAAAAATTATGTTACAATATTCAATTTATAATTAAATGTGAAAAAAGTATGAATTTTTAAATATTATATAAAAATGTAAATAATCATTTTAAATATATTTCTTATAAAATATGAATAATTAGAAAAATATTATGAATATTATATTATATGTTACCTGTTATTTAATGTGATTCAATATAAATTGAGAATATTATATTATATAAAATTATATAGATGTTAAAAGAGTATAAATTGTTAAATAGAGTTTAGAAATTCAATATATCAAATGCCATATTCAATTAAGTTCAATACTCAAAACGATTTACTCACGCTTGAAAGAGTTCCTAATAGCATTCAACTTTAAAATCACTTAAGTATATAAATAGAATATATATTCAAAATACAACACACACATTATATAAATTTGTTTTTCTTCTAAATTGAAAGTAAAATTATCAATATAAAAAATAACAATTAATTTTTTATAAACTTATTGTTTTATCCTTAATATTGAAAAATTTATGAATATGAATAATATATAATCCATGATATAAGTCCAAATTTTTAAATTAATAATTAAATAGATAATTATATTTCAATGGACCATTGCAAAATCTATTTAATAAATGATTTTAAAATTATGACACATATACTGATTTTTTTTGCGGTGCACTGTGTGCTTGTCTGCACTCGAAGGACGAAAACAGATCTGTTCGGATAACACCGCCATATATTACGCAACATAACGGTAGAACTATAGTAAAGAAGAAGATAGAAATTACCGGTTTCTTTTGGCGTTGTAAAACGTGGCCTAATTTCTCAAGATTTTGATATTTTAATGCATTATATATTAATGTCTAGTTTTAACAAAATTACTTTGAAATAATTTGAAAATTATTTTAATATTAAAAATTTATTTATAATATAAACAATTTTTGTATTAAAAGATATTAATTTTTATATTATATTATAAATAATGATTTTATTTTGTATGAGTATATATAATATCAAAATATAGAATTATTAAATAATTTTTTTTGGTTGAAAAAAAATAACACAACAAATCAATTCAAATGAAATAAAAAAAAAAGCACTATAATTACGTCATTAGAAAAAGGATGGAATCATAAGACAGAAAAATCTGGATTATTACCTATTAGATAATTCAGACTTACTAATTAATGTCAAAAATTATACAGTTTTCCTCAAATAATAAAAAAAAATTTAATTATGTATAATTCAATGCAATTTGAAAAAGTAAAAAATTATTAGCAAAAATCAAAATAAATTTTTTTGAATTATTAAAAATTTAAAATTGAATTATGCTATAATAGAAAGCATAAAAAAAGATATATTTTTTACTTCCGAATTTTCTACTTCTAAAACTATAAGTATTTATAATACATAGTTACCTGTTTATAATACGTCAATAGTATAGTTTCTTATAATTTTAACCACAACATTCAATAGACACATTGAATTTAACCACTGCATCAAATGAATAAAAAAATATGTTAACATTTATATGCAAGATATATGAGTAATATATGAGTAATTTTTTGAAATATAAAATATAAAAAATAATATTTTTATATAAACCAAAATAAATATTGCAGCTTCGGCGCGAAACTGTTTGTTCGAAACTATTAGCACAGACTAGATACAGAATAGATCTAATATTCAATGCATTTTTTTGTTCCATACCTCGGAAGTACTAGAATCTTATCATTTTAATATCATTTTCAACCTTACCGATACGGTTCAGAATAATATTGTAACATTCTTAATTATTGAAAAATTGAAATATTCAATATAAAATTACAAATTAAAAAAATACAATACATATTCTATACATTTGTAGTATAAAATATTTTATAGGTATATATAGAAATATTATATTTTATATATAATTATATTTATATCAACTATTTTAAAACAAATAATTGGAAGAATTTCATATTATTATATACATTTTTTTAATTATAAAATCTTAAAAAAATATGCTATTAATGAGAATTAGAAAAAATTTTTATTTTGAAATTATTCAATAAAATATTTTTTAAAAATTTTTAAAAATGTTATTATGCATATTACTTACAATTTATCTGTCATTTTATTAAATATTTTCATATAATTTATTTTAAAATATAAAATTTTTTAATAGAATGTTTCAAAACTTTTTCTTTGTTATCAACTTAGATTTTTATTTGTTTAAATAATTGTTGCCGAGCAATATCTAATAAATATTTGAATTATGTATTATAATATATGTTTTATGAAATCATCATCCTAAAGATATATTTTAAACAATTTAATATCTAAATCTTTTATATTAATTCTAATTTTAAAAAAAAAATAATAAAAATATGTTTAATCGACATTTTATATTTTTATTTGTGGCATTACATTAAGAGCAAGTATAAATAAGAAAAGCAAATAATAGAAAAATAAATAAAAGAAGAAAGATAAAATAAAAATTGACTTTCAGCATCATTTTTTAAAGACATTTTTTTAGAAACAGAATAATATAAGATAAGAATTTTAGATCAGCACCATCTCTTGAATAGTTTTAGAAATATAATTATTTGAAGCAATATCTTTGATACTCAAGAGAGGACGCTAATAATCTTACTCTACCTGTTAATTCTTACTGTATCATTCTATTCTCTAATTATTTATTTGTATATTAGTTTTATTTTCAGTATTCTGAAAATGGCATTGATTTTTATATTTTTATCCTATCTCTGTCCTTCTTTCAAATGCAAAATTTAAGTATATAAAAGTGTAAAAAGTGTATAAAAAATGATTTTGATTTATTGTTTTCTTTATTTAAATATATGTCTATTGATAAAAAATCTAAAACAAATAATCAATTTTATTCGATCCAATTTTTAAATATTAGAATTATATATCTTATGTAAATATAAATTATATATTTATTTTTATATATTTATATATTTATATCATATTTTATCATATTTTATTTTTATATATAAAATATATTATATATATATANATTATATATAAATTAATATCTATAATAAATAAAGTTATTACAATTATTTAATATATAAGATATCTAATAGGATTGATAATGATGAATCTGAATGATTTGAAAATCACTTTAAACTGAAAAATCCTCGATTAATCCTCGATAGGA